TGGCTTATATCGAAATCCTCCGACATTCTTCTTTACAAATCCTCGTTTTGTACTTCTAATAAGTGACCGTTGTTTTGTTTTGATCTCTCCGCTGCGCTTCCGCGTTTTTCACTTCTGAGCGGCGCATGCGCAAAGCCGACCTCCATACGTCATACGCTCGGAGCTGCTTTTTTTGTACAACAGTGAGCGCAAGCTACATTAAAGTGATTATTAGGTTTTAAATATGCTTATTTTTCTTACAAAAACGCATCTTTGTTCACCCCCCCCGCCCCCGGAGCCGTGTGAGACAATTTTTTTTAATGGATGGGCGCTTTTTATTTAACTTCTTTTGGACTGATGCATGCAACACCTGCCGACTGCCATTAAACAGCTTGAAAGATCAAATACCATTTTTAATATAACTCCGACTGGATTCTTCTGAAAGAAGAAAGTCATATACACCTAGGATGACTTGAGGGTGAGTAATTTATGGACTAATTTTCATTTTTGGGTGAACTAACCCTTTGAGGTTAGATATTTGTATGTAAAGGCATGAGCACAACTAATGGATAGAAGGTGGATAGAGTGAGAAACAGACAGATAGACTGACACATAGATAGATAGATAGATAGATAGATAGATAGACAGTGTTTGACAGATTAAACAGAGGGATGACGAATGGTTGACGGGTATTGGAGGCGGGCTTTACTGAGGAGGGTGTAGCTGCAGTCATCATGGCTCCCAGACCGCGTATCCCAGTGCAATAGTAAATAAATAGAAAGGAAATGCATTGTCCATGTTTATAACAGAGAAGTGCGTTAATTTAGGATACATATTTACAATTTCAGATTAAAACCGTAGCTTTTTTTCTCCCTTATACGCGAGCGAGCTATGGATGCGCAGGTTGCAAACCGTTGCAGCATCAAGTCTGCAGCGAAAGCGAGCAGCCCGCAGAATGCAGCTGAAAGCCGGATCGAAAACGCACCAAAGAAGAAATCCCGCACGAGAAGAGGCAGAAGAGGGAAGCGACGGAGGGGCAAGAAGGCCAACGAGCCTCCGCCGTTTCTACCACCAGAGGTAAATATAGATGTGTGTTGGCGGATGCTAACCATGTGTACTGCATATCAATAACCATAGTAGCCTACCATTCGATATTAGCGATATTAAGATCGGCCTATAATGTATATTACATCTTAATATCGTTCATTAGAATATTAATACAGTAGTGTTAAGCTGCTGGCGAATTATATTTTAAATATACAAAAATGGGTAAGAGGCTGCCAAAATACTGTACAGTTACCACTGTAAAAATGATAATGAATTAATACTAGCTACTTAATGTAACCGTGTGTCTTTTCGTTTTCATTTTGATGACAGGTAGCGAATATTCATTTAATACAGTAGGCCTAATAGCTACAGTAGGATACTAATAATTGTATGATTTGTAAGACCAGAATCTGCACTTTTTAGGTGAAAACTTTTCATGCCGGGTTGATTTTATGGTAGATATAATAGTTGTTCAAAAATAAATCAAATGTAAATAGCAATTGGTTAATAAATAAACAACAACAAAAGTTAGTTCCATAATGCCAAATAATTGTGGTTATTATTCATTTTCTAGTTCTTTCCAAGGTTGTATTTTGTCCAATAAATGAATTGTGTGCAAGGACTGATTTTTGCAAGACTGCATTTAGATTTGTATTTAATTTATTGTTTTTTTGCCCACATATCTTCATATTTTAGGCTGAAGAGGGAAACATTGAATACAAGGTAGCCTATGCAATCACCAAATTGATAGTAATAATTTTTATAGGATTTTATATGTATTTAATGGCATATTCATGCTCTGTTTTCAGTTGAAGCTGGTAAACCCCACGCAGTATCGGTTCGAACACTTGGCCACGCAGTTGAAATGGCGACTGCAGGAGGGCCGCGGGGAGGCCGTGTATCAGATTGGGGTGGAGGATAACGGTCTGCTGGTTGGACTTACAGAAGAAGATATGAAAGCCTCGCTTAAGACTCTTCGCAGAATGGCTGAGAAGTATGTATTGAATTCATCAACCAATTTGATTTTCTTTAATGTCAGTGTGTAAGAAGTGGCTTACAGGCGTGTTGTGTTGTCTTGGTAAGACTCTGTGACTCTGCGCAGGGTTGGAGCCGATATCACGCTCCTGAGAGAGAGGGAGGTGGACTGCGATAGAGCTCGACGGAAAATCGCTGAAGTTCTTGTGCGGAAAGTTCCAGATGACCAGCAGGTGAGCTTGTGACGCTTTAATCAGTGTCCATTTCATTTCTGTTGTAAATTGTGGTTGTTGTGGTTTTAGTCATTGGGTCATGCATGGGATTATTATTATTTCTTTTAAAAATACTAAATAAAAACAAAATGTTTTAAATATTGAATATAAAAATACAGAAATGTTTTAAAATGATTATGTAATTTGCCTGCTTTTTTGATGATCATATTTTAAATTTCAGAATTAGACTTTTTTTAATGAAAAAGGTCGTTAAAATTCTTGAAAATAACTTTATTATTGGAATAATATAATCTTTTATTATTATTTCGTAAAAATACTAAAGAGAATATTCTTCATTATTCAAATATTCATTTTTAGAATATTTAAAAGGTCTTGTAAAAAGGATATATTCTTGAAAATAACTATTATAAAATTATATTTTATTCAAATTTCTTAAAAAAAATAATAAAATAGAAAAGTATGACTTAAGATATTAAATATAAAAAATCCTAAAAACAATTTTTATTTTGTTTTGTTTTCAGTGTGCCTTCCTTTTTATGATGAACATGAACATTAAATTAAACTTAAATTTCTGAATTACTTTTTTTTTACGAAAAAGGTCTTGTAAAAAGGAATATACTCTTGAAATAATATCTTGGAATAAAATCACTGGAATAAATAAACTTGGAATAAACTTGTAATCATTGGAAAAAAATATTTTATGACTATTTCTATAAAATGTACAACATTTAAAAAATATTACATTTAAAAAATACAAAAAAAATGCTTTCAAATAATTATGGAGTTTGCCTACTTTTGAACATTTCAGAATTACATTTTTTTATGGAAATGGTCTCATTTCTTCTTGAAAATAACTTGATTATTGGAATAAAAATAATCTTTTATTATTATTTCTTTAAAGAATATGATATAAAGAAAGTACATGATTATTCAAATATTAAATATTTTAAATAAAGAATTTTAACATTATATTTATACTAACTTTTGTCTACCAATTAAAATCCAGTGGGTATAAATAACACACAGGACGCTGTTTAGTTGTCATGTGAGAAGAAAAATTATATCACCAAATCAGACTTTCGTGACTATGTAGGTCAGTAAATTTCTTAAGATAAATCCAATAATTTGGCCCTTTCTAAGGCTAAATATAGTATTTGTCACTTATTCATGGTTGTTATACAGCTATTTTTAGAGTAATGAAATTAAATTTTTCTTTTCTTCATCATAGTCATTCTTATTTGTCATTGACCCAATAAACGAATGATGTATTATGTGTTGTCGGGTCATTGTGATCTCTGTGTTTGTGTGAGTAGTTCCTGGATCTCCGTGTGGCTGTTCTGGGTAACGTGGATTCAGGCAAGTCAACTCTGCTGGGCGTGTTGACTCAGGGCGAGCTGGATAACGGACGGGGCAGGGCCAGACTCAACCTCTTCAGACACCTGCATGAGATTCAAACGGGACGGACATCCAGCATCAGTTTTGAGATCCTAGGCTTTAACAGCAAAGGAGAGGTGAGACAGATATTTAGTACACTTTTATTTATGATACTTTTTTCAGTGGTGCATTAACTGGGATTTAAAGCTTCTACTTGCTAGCATATAAGCATGTTGCTTTGATTTTTTTTCTTTCTCTTATATCGTTTTAGGTTGTAAACTACAGTGACTCTCGTACAGCAGAGGAGATCTGTGAGAGCTCTTCTAAGATGATCACTTTTATTGACCTGGCTGGTCATTATAAGTACTTGAAGACCACTATATTTGGCCTGACAAGCTACTGCCCAGACTTTGCCATGCTGGTGGTGGGAGCCAATACTGGCATTGGTTAGTATTTATAAATATATATTTCTATTGCTTTAAAAGTTGTGATTTAAGAGCATATTTTATGAGTAAGGCATAAAAATTGGAACTAAATCTGGCCGATATATATTAAATATTTACAATAAATTCAAGATTTTACACTATTCAAAGAATTCCCACTACCATTCAAAGATTTGGAGTCTGTCAAATTGTTCAAATACTTTTAAAGAAGTCTCTTATGCTCACCAAGGCTGCATTTATTCATTCAGAAATACAGTAAAAACAGTAATATTGTGAAATAATATTATAATTAAAAAAAAAAGTTTTCTATTTGAATACATTTCAAAATGTAATTTATTTCTGTAAAGCAAAGCTGAATTTTCAGCCCGAATTTTTACTCCAGTCTTCAGTGTCACTGTCACATGATCCTTCAGAAATCATTCTAATATTCTGATTTGGTGCTTAATAAACATTTCTTATTATTAACAATGTTGAAAACAGCTGTGCTGCTTGATATTTTTGAGGAAACCATGATACATTTTTCAGGATTATTTAGAATAGAAAGTTCAAAAGAACTGCATTTGTTTGAAATAGAAATCCTTTGAAATATTATAAACGTCTTTACTGTCACTTTTCATAAATTTAATGCATCCTTGCTTAATACAAGTATTTATATTTTTTAATCATATTAATCTTATTTATCCCAAACCTTTAAACTGTAGTGTGTATTTCTATATGATTTTTTAAAAATTATATAAATCATTACTCAAAACCATCCAGATCACCCAACTTTGAACTAATTTTGTGTCATAACATATTATACATTATTCTGGCATTGTAAAATTCTCCCAGCTGGCACAACTAGGGAGCACCTGGGTTTGGCGATGGCGCTGAAGGTGCCCATATTCATTGTGGTGAGTAAGGTGGACCTTTGCGGTAAAAGCACAGTGGAGAAAACGGTTCGTCAGTTGGAGAGAGTGCTCAAACAGCCCGGCTGCAACAAGGTCCCCATGGTGGTGTCCAACCCTGATGATGCCGTCACGGCTGCACAGCAGTTCGCACAATCCTCCAGGTACATGTGTGTATGAGAATAGAGAGGTTATTATAGACATTTATTGCATTATTTTCCACCTTAAGTCAATGTTTCTTGCAACATAAACAGCCATAATTGATTTTTTTCCTGACCAATTCCCACCCTCTCTTTTAGCATTACAGTTAAACAGCCTGTTTTTGGTACTGTACCTTTAAAACTTAAATATGTAAATTTGAATGAATACCCTACAAAGTACCTTACCACTGATAGCTGTTCAACACTCTAGTTTGTACAGTATGTGTGTGTGTTTGTAATGATGTGTTTTTCTCCCCACAGTGTGACGCCCATCTTCACCCTCTCCAGTGTGTCTGGGGAGAATCTGGACCTTCTGAAGGTCTTTTTCAACATTCTTCCTCCTCTGAGCAACAGCAAGGAGCAAGAGGAGCTCATGCAGCAGCTCACGGAGTTCCAGGTACAAACACACTCTCACCAACGCACATATCATGTCTTAATTCTAAGATATTCCAAGAGATTTAATGTCAAATTGATGTGTTCTTGCAGGTGGATGAGATTTACAGTGTTCCTGATGTAGGGACAGTAGTCGGTGGTACACTCTACAGGTCAGTCCACATCTGTTGCATCAATCTTGTCTGTCCGTCTGTCTAATAACTGCCTATCGTCCACCTAGCAATGTACTAGCAACCATTTAGCACACACTTTATCAAATCCTATAGCAAACCCCCTGGCAACTATTTAGAAAAACCTATATATGTCTTAACATTGTAGCAAACTGCTTAGCACCCACCCCATATGAAAATGAACCATGGTTTTACTATAAATTTTTTTAAAATAAAACATGGTTCATATAGTTAAACCATTGTAACCACAAATTAACCATGGTTTTGTTACACTAACCATAGTTTAACTATGGTATTTATAGTAAAACTGTGCTTATACAAATGGTAATCATTCCTTCCAAAAAACATGGTCACTATACTTTTACAATAATAAAAGCATGGTTAATTTTTGTAAGGGACATATCAATGCCCTAGCAACCACTCAGAACACCTTAGTAATCTCTTAGCATCCTAGCAACATCTTAGCATCCACCCAGAACACTCTAGCAACAACAAAGTAACATACTTGCAACTACTTAAAACACTACTTATAACACAATGTCTTAGCTTTGTAAACAAATGCTTAGCAACCACATAGCAATGGACTTTCACATGCTAAGCAATGCCCTAGCAACACCTTAGAAACCACCCAGAACACTCTTCCAACTGTCTTATCCACCTTTTTCCTGAGTAATCAATGAGGGCCGCCATGATGTATTCTAACTTCCGTTTGGATGTTAAAATGGGGAAAAAGTTCGGAAACTTTTCAAATATAACTAAATATAAAAATGTGTGCAGGGTTAAGCTGCGCGTTCATTTGACTAGAAACATCAGAGACGAGAAATGTAAAGCATCTTTCCATTATGAGGCGAACGAGACTTCCGTGTTCAGGAAAACGGTGGATAATTCTCTCATAACAACCCAAAATGCCCTAGTGACTGCTTAGCAATGCCTTAGCAACCACTCAGAGCACCTTATCAAACCATAGCAACTCGGAGAAACCTATTTACTACCTAGCAATGTATTGACATTGTAGCATCTGATTTACACCCGCATCTCAATGCCCTAACAACCACTTAGACCACCTTTGTAGCAAAGCTCCAGCAACCACTCTGAACAACCTAGCAACCTCATAGCAACATCTTGACTTGACACCCAGAACAACGTTTTTGAGAGCAACGTTCTTGTAACAACTGAAAGGACTTTAGCAATACTCTAGCTCTGTAGCACTTGTTTAGCAACCAACAATGCCCTCACAATCATTCAGAACTCATTAGCAACGCCTCAGCAACTGCTTGGCAACCACTCAAAACCCCTTGGCAACCTCCCAGAATACTCTTGCAATTGGCTTATAACTGTTTCATAACCACCCAGAACACTCTTAATAACGGCAATGCTCTAGCAGCCACTCTGAACAACTGCTCAAACCCTAACAACCACATAGCAACACCTTAGCAACCACTCAGAACAGCTTATCTACTAACTAATGTTTTAGCATTGTAGCAGCTGCTTATGACCCACATATCAATGTCCTAGCAACCATTCAGAGCACCTTAGTAATCCCTTAGCACCCTAGCAACATCTTAACAACCACCCAGAACACTTTAGCAACCACATAACAATGTGCTTGCAACCACTCAGATCACTTAAAAAATGCCCTAGCTCTGTAGCAACTACTTAGCAACCACTCCAAACACCTTAGCAACATTATATAACTTTCACAACCACACAGAACAACCTACCAACACCATAGCAACCAGTCAAAACAACTTACCTACTACCTAGCAGTGTTTTAGCAATGTAGCAACTGCTTTTTCAATACCTTTTTCAATGTCTTAGTTGCCGTTGCAAAATATGCACGTGGAAGTCTTTCACCCTCTTGTGGAATCCCTGATCTCCCAGTTTCCAATTTGACATGACCGGATTTTACCAACGAAAATCTGCTAAATTACTGCCTTCACACTTTTTATTCAATTTGTCTCGATGATCATAATTGACTTTCTATTCACACGCAGTGGTGTGTGTCGTGAAGGAGACCGGCTGGTTGTGGGTCCCACCGATGATGGGCGATTCCTGAGGTTGAAGGTGTGCAGTATTCACAGGAATCGCTCCGGCTGCCGTGTGCTGAGAGCTGGACAGGCCGCCACACTTGCACTTGGGAACTTTGATCGCTCGTTACTACGAAAGGTCTGATTTCAATACGGGAGCAAGAGGAGAAAGACTAAATTAAGTCTTTGTGTAGCCATATCTTCATGATGTCTTTGTGATCTTGAGTGTTTGTGTTTTTAGGGCATGGTCATGGTGAGTCCCAAAATGAACCCTACTATTTGCTGGCAGTTTGAGGCCGCTATTGTCCTCCTGTTCCACGCCAAGACTTTCCGCCGTGGTTTCCAGGTCACGGTGCACGTGGGGAATGTGAGGCAGACCGCCACTGTAGAGTGTCTCCTTGGAAAGGTGTGTTTTGTTTTTTACAATGTTCTGAAGAGTGTTGCTCTGTTAGTATACACTTTTAAAAATAAAGTTCTTTCTGGTCATCTTTGGTTCCATGAAGAACCTTAAATGTCCATGGAATCTTTCTATTGCACAAAAGGTTCTTTATTGTGGAAAAAAGTTCTTCAGATTATTAAAAAGTTCTTAGTAAAAATGGTTCTTTTACAAAATGTTCCATGAATGGTTCTTTGGGGAACCATAAATAATTCTCTTTTGGAACCTTTATTTTGAAAACTATCATCACAGAAAAATGTGTGTATTTGTCCTCTAGGAGGAGCTGCGGACAGGAGAGAGAGCTGTAGTGTGTTTCAGATTCTTAAAGCACCCTGAGTATTTGCGTGTGGGAGCCAAGCTGCTCTTCAGAGAGGGGGTGACCAAAGGCATTGGACACGTGACGCACCTCCTACCCTCCACCCAGAACCACGTGCCTGATCAGAACCGCAACCAGAACCACAGTTAGACACATTGGGAGTGACACCATAAATCAAAAGAGGACTTTTGACTGCAGCTGCAGTCACGTCCTGTCCTTGCCTTGAGTTTGCATCCCCTAGTTCTATTGTGCACCTTTCATTTCCACTCTATAGTTGTGCCTATATTAATTGCAGATTTGCCTGTGTGTAAATGCTCTCGGCTCCTGTGACATTTGGACGGTTTTGGTACAGTGATTTACTGATTAGAGTGTATGTCTGCCAGGTGTAATGGAGCTTGAAAACCTCTCCTAATTTTGCACAAGTGCGTGTTTCACATCTTAAGTTGAAACTGGCTGACCTTGAGTGAAGCATGTAGGATTTCAAGTCTCTAAGTTGGGTATCTGGAGCAGATTTCTGCAGGAACAAATACAGCCTGCATTATAGATATGAGAACATAATTGTAGCATTCAACTTCAGATCTTAGGTCGTTTTAAATACGTGATGTTACCCCGGTAGATCTGATGACACTTCAGATTTGTTTCTTTTTTAAAAAATATATAAAGGTATGTTGTATTTGTCAAGCCACCCTAGTTAAAACAGAATATGTTCTGTTTCCCTTGTTAGAATTGGACAAAGCAACCCTAAGGTGCACGTGAGGTCTCAGAGAGAGCACTAAAACAGGAACGCAGTGCAGCAATGCATTCAGCAGTTCAAACGCAAGCAAGAATATTTTTTTATGCCCTTCACTCACAAACTTTCCTCCGTCTTGTTCACTCGGATGTACGTCATTGATTACGTTGCGTGAGTGCCCACTACTGGCGGAACCCTTGCAATGGGCTGAACTGGAACGTCCTAAGCCCTTGATCACTTACAATCTGCTATAGAGTTGGTTTATTGTTTACATTTTTCCCCTTACGAATTTGTTTGGTGCAGCATTCTATATGTATATAGATTTGCTTGGGCTGTTATAAATGTAAAAAATAAATATATATATATTATAGAGTTGTTTGGGGTGGGGATAAATTAAACGCGATCTGCGATGATGTCATAGTCCTGTTGCATTTTGGTCTACAGAGCGGCCTGAAGTGTGCATATGAAGCAGACTCGCTCCCTCGGTCAAAACTGAGGGGTCGAGGCGAGGGTATGTCCATGTAAACTTCCCTCGTCCACAAAGTGGAACGTGCTTCAAATTGGCGACGGGGAGTCCCCCGAGCGTAAGTGCTTAGGGAAGTTTGCGAGTGCGTGTCTAAGGCCTGGGACACACTAGACGATTTTCAAATCTTAAACGATTTTAAAACTATGGGAGACCACAGACATGAAGACAGTTCAACTGTATAAGTTTAGCCTTATAATCCTCTGAATGCACACACTAGATGATTCGACCAGACCACGAGACCACACACTTGTTGATTGTAGGAACGATTTCACAGTGACACGTGATCTCACGGACACTCACAAGATCAAACGTGACTAGAGAAGAAAAACAAATAGAGGACGATTAACGTTGTCAGCTGGCTTTCCTGGCGTGTATTCTGTTTCACAGTGGAAAAACTAAGAATAAAAAAGAATATGGGTATTGTTCTCTGCTTTCATGGCATGTTTGTGGCTGCCAAGTTTCAGCTATAGAAGCACGCAACATCCGGTAGGTGACGCTTGCTCGCTCTCATTGGCTATCGCGGGTATAACATGTTTGATATTTACGATTTGAATTCTGGGATGCTCCGTCTCGATGGGGAGCAGATAAATAATCGTAATGACACCACACAATAGAGGCGACAAGCCGCGAATCGGGCCACACCCCCCTATCGTTCGGGGTGCAAATCGGGCTTAAAATCGGCTAGTGTGCGGCCAGCCTAAAAGTGAATGGGAATGCAGCCTTATGCCGGATCGCTTATACACCTGAACAAATACACTTGGACCAGCTAATCAAGGTCTTCAGGATCACTTTAAAGATCACAGGCTAAGTGCAGTGAAGCAGGTTGAAAATCAAATTTGAAGGACAGTGGGTGCCCAAGAGCAGGGTTAAAGACCTAGGCCTTAAGCTCAAAGTTTATTTCAATTTGATTGTGTACAGCCGAATACATAGCTTTTCAAAGTATAATCCATTTGATGGCCAGTTTTGCCACCTTGTGGATCAACTAGTTAGTGTGAGAAAAATTATAGGTGCATATGCGAGTTGAGTGTACAGCAGGGGTCTCCAGCCCTGCTCCTGGTGAGCTGCAGTCCTGCAGATTTCAGCTCCAACCCCAATCAAACGCACCTGAACCAGCTAATCAAGGTGTTCAGGCAAAGCCACTGGAAGGCAAGCCTGTAACCTTTAGCCAAAAAAAAGTAATGGCTAATGCAAACGCTTCCGCTTTGGCAGTACATAGAAAAGGAGACCAGAGGCTTTTTTTTTTAATGGATGTCAATGGAGGAGAGGCCATTGGTTATTAAGGCAGAGGTGATCCAAGTTGACCGTTGCGCTTTCTCCAATAGTAAGTAATACAGACCCTCTCATCTCCCAATAGTAAGACAATCTCTGGAGCAGGGTTGTAGATCCCTGGTGTACAGTGTATACACATCAGATTGCGCACATACTATGCTGGTGACAAAATTAACATCCACTGCACTGTATGCACATTCTAGTTTGCACATAAAGTATACTCCGGGCTTTTAAGTTGAGCTCCCATTGTGCGATTTTACAGTCCTTTATGATGGTTGCTTGTTAGTCTGTACAATATACATATTGTTGCGAAGAGTTTGGTCCTGTTGCCAGGGCAGCAGTACTGGATACTGCCAGAACTTCGTAGGTGGTTAAGATTTGTCACAAAGGTGTATGTGAACATGATACATTAAGCGATATTGTCTTAAATGGAAGAATTGTAGGCAAAAACGTACAGTGCAAAGCTGGCTGCAGTCGCAAATGAAAACAAGGTTGTGACGGACAAAAGTTATTCCATTCTATGTTGTTATTTTATAGTTGTTCCATTATGATCTAACACAATGTTGAAAATGTCTTTCCACAAGTTTTTATTGAACAAAAAACAAACATCTTAAAGGGGTCATCGGATGCAAAATTCACTTTTGTTGTTGTTTGAACATAAATGTGTGTTGGAAGTGTGTGTACACATCCACCCTATGATCAAAATCCACCCAGTGTTTTTTTTTTAATCCCCATTTTAAAATCCCCTTTCTCAAATCAGGATGTTCTGAGATTCCTGTCAGAATGACGTAGTTCTGCACAGGCCCCTCCCACGATAGTTGATTGACAAGATCGTCTTACCTTAGGCCCGCCCTGAGTGAGCTGTCATCAGTCCGCCATTGTGTCGACTCCGGTGCAGGGGAAGACAAGAATGTGTTTTGTTGTTGGATGTAATAATGAATAAAGCAGTCGTCATTTACTCCCGACATCTGACCCCCGCTGAAGATGCAGAGGATTAAAGTTACTTTCATTTTTGAAAGGTATGCGCCGATCCCCGGTCTGCCTAAATGCCTTTAAGTTCGATCTGACCCCCGCTGAAGATGCAGAGGATTAAAGTTACTTTCATTTTTGAAAGGTATGCGCCGATCCCCGATCTGCCTAAATGCCTTTAAGTTCGCGCGAATCATTCATGATCCAGCTTCATCTACAGAAGAAGTGAGTATAAGGGTTTTTTATGAATCTTTGCAAATTGCCTTTCCTAAAATGTGCTAGTTAGAAAGTTTCACGGCTGAAGTTTACAGTCTGCTCGTAACCCCACGGAAGAGAGGGGCGGGGGCAGCAGAGCTCATTAGCATTTAAAGCAACACGAACTAGAAAGGTGTGCTGAAAACAGAGCTGATTTTGACAGGGTAAAAAGGGTGTTTTTTTACACTAGCATTGAGAAATTTTAAACAAAGTATGTTACAGGCTATTCATTAAGACCCTAAAGAATCATATAAACTTGTGGAAAATGGGCATCTGATGACCCCTTTAATGAAACATAAAACACACCGATTTTATTGAATAGGACAATACTCAAATCATTTCACATACACTTAACACTTTTATTTTGTTCAAATTTCATGAATAAACAACCACAGCCTTGTTTTTGTTCATGTAATGTGGTATCGTTTTGATGCGTTAGGTGGCGTGTTGGAATATTGCCTAATTCTTCAGGACCGGAAGGGAACAGAAAGGGAATTTTTGGAGCTCTAGAGTTGTAGGAACAGTCAGGCATGATTGGTTTTTCACTAGCTTGATTACATTGTGCCTAATTATAAATGCATTCACCGATAACTCCAAAAAATTTTGTGCATATTGCACGATTGTTTGTAAGCAAATATAAGCAAAGTGTAGGTCATTTCCAATGGCTTACAGGGTCAACTGGGTTAAACTTACGGCAGATTTGTGTGATGGGCATTCGTCTTGAGCATGCACAGGAACCCAGTTAACCATTGTGTTGTGCGCCCCATTCACCCGTGCACTCCTATTCGAAACATTGTGCAATTATATAAACATTGAATGTACTAATCATAGATATACTTGTATCATTTGAAGTTACTAATCTAATAATGTGATCACTAATGCATAAAAGCTCATTTCATTTAACAGTATTGAACATTGGGCGTCAGTCTTGAAACATGAGCACAACGCATTTACAAGTGTAAATAACTTGTAAAACCTTGTTTTTACAGACATTTTTAGGAAGAAATTCGTTCTGCTTTTGTTTTATAAATGAGGCCCAATCGCTTTCATAACTTCAGCTGTTGGTCAACAGTGCATGTTGTGCTTACACAAATAATAATTAATATTGTCTAAAGTGCATCTGGTCGGCTTTATTACATTTGAGATCTATCTTCATGTCATGTACTTCTGAAAAAAGTCCTCAAAAGCCTAGAAACCAGACTACATATCTATTGCTTTGCTATTAGTTCCTATGTAATAAAGAATTAATGTTTTATTGTGGAAACCCTTTGTTTGTAATTAATTAAAGACAAGAAATACAATACGTTGTCATGGAAATTACAGTTTGAAACAAGTAAGGCTCTTATAGGCACACTATATATAGATTATTTTGAATTGTTCCATATTTGGGACAGTTAAAAAATAACACAAAATGGGTTTAGTGCACTTGTGATGGAAGTCTATAGGGCAAGTATCTGCAGAAATGTGAAGCTTGTATTTTTATGGTATACAGTGATTATGCATTTTGCCTGTAGGTTACCTGGTTTGGTCTTGGTTCTATACTTTTGAAACGGTATTTTTCAATGTTAAAGCTTATTCCAGTGCAATGCCTTGCTGCATAGACTTCCATTGTAAATGTATTACCATAAATGTTTTTTGAACCAGAAACAGTCTCATAGAAACCAAATGGGAAAAAGACAAAAACAGTGAGTCAAGAGTTTTGACAAGTTTTATTATGATAAATGAAAGCTGTCTTTGCGCAATAAATTGTTAATTGTTCACAGAACACACTGTTGTAGCATAGCAGCAAGCACCATAAGAATAGGTTTACATAACATGGCATTATGAATAAAATAAACAGGAAAAAAAAATTATATAAAACTCTTTATTTTCCTTCAAAAGATGAATGCTTTTTGTTTTGCACTTTGTGAAACAAATCAGCATTTGTGAATACAGAAACTTTGTTCAAAAAGATGAAAAATTACACTACTAAATCTGACATCCTTCATATGAGATATAATACTCAGATGACTATTAATGCATCTGTACCATTCATAAATTCTTCATTCCTCTTTCACTTTACTATACATGCTTGAAACTGCTTCTGAAATATGCATCTATGTCTACCTTTTCTACCAAAGCTTTTAACCTTAAAAACATGTATAACATACCAACATGAAACTATTCTTATTTTCTTCACCATGTAAATGTAATGCGTTCATCTTCAAAATGTCCTTTTGCTCTGCAGAACTAAGTGACTGTTGAAATGATAGACAAAACTCCAGGCACATAAGCGCTGATTTGGAGAGTTTATGCAAGGCTCCTCTGTCTGGGCTTGATTCTGGGGTATAACTACAGAAGAAAAACAAATATGAGCAATCTGTAGTAAAAAAAAGGATGTCCAAGATTAAATGACGAGGAGAAAGCTTAAAAAAAATGTATTTCCTCACCCCGAGGAGGTTGCGAGGTATATAGCCCTCATTGTCAGCACATCTCGCCCACCACCACTCTGTTTCTTCACGGTCCTCTCTTCGTAGGATGGTCAGGCAGTCTCCTTCCTTAAAGGACAACTCGTCCGGACTCTCAGCATCATAGTCCCACAGGGCATAAACAATGCCCCTGTTCATGATGCCCATCTTCTCCTGCACACCTGAGAAAAAAACACCTCAACGCTACAGATTTATTGCGATAAATTACCAGTTGAGCTACAAGAAGTCCTCTTTCGTAAAGTTTCATAATGAGAGAACAGGTTTCTCACCATAGAGAAACTGTGAGCATTGGGCATAACCTTCTTCCATCTCCTCGCACTTGTCTGCCGCTGTCTGCATATCGCTGTAGGTTGTGGCGTATACAGCAGCTCCTGATTCCACCAGGAACTTACATACTTGCACGTTATTACAAGAAGCAGCGCAGTGCAGGGGAGTCCTAACAGAGAGAAAGAGACGTTTAATTTTGTTGTATTCAACTTATGGACAGAATTTTACTGGGTTTACATAAATGTTTTTCGCTCACCATCCATCGCTGTCTGCGGCATTCGCATTCACTCCAAACTGCACCAGGAACTTTACGATTTCCGCGTGTCCAGCGCACACAGCATTGTGCAAAGCAGTGATGCCCTCATCATTGGGTAAACTGGGGTCTTCTACCTGGATATGACATTGAGACATATACTTGAAATGCTAACTAGCTATACCTATATGTCTAGTTATATTACTCACTAGTGGACCAAGTATGTAACTGATCTTGGCCTGTTCCTTACCTCATATATGATCCTCTGGACGAGGTCATACTCGCCCTCTAAAGAGGAGTCCAACAGAAGAGCCAGAGAGTTAAAGTGCACACGCATTCCGTGGTTGATGCGATCCGAGCTCGTCTTACGCAGGTTTGTTCTTTTGCCCTGGGAGGATGGATGAATAGATGTTTAGCTAAATACTAAAAGAAAATGCTGTACATA